TAGCACAAGATAATTAGTGTGCAGACCATTTTCATTTATATAGTGCTCTGTGAACACAAATTAGTTAGCATAAATCAGTTAAATGACGAAAAATTGGGTATCTATTTACTTGTGACCACTCAGTGTATATGATATTATTCTAAAGTTCGTTTATTCAAAATAGTTGTGTCAAATGAAACAGAATTGAAATTATTGGCGAATCGTGTCCTGCTAATAAGGTAAAATTCTCTAACTTAAAATCAATAATTCAGAATTCTCAGTATCTAGGACAATAGTGCGATTATTGCTCATGATAAGCGAAGTTTGTGTAAGTACTTGATTATCTTAAAGTAGATGTCAATAATTATGCTGGAAGACAATTATTAATACTAACGATTATTGCTAGAGAGTAATCAATAAAGAGTTACGAGATATGGCTGTAATTGCGATGTAAAAAAGTGTAACCAAATGTGATGTGACAGGTCGAAGGTCAACTGTACCCAATCTTCGACCATAACTACTCAGGTAGAATTCTCGCTAATTCTGAATTACTAACCAGATGGAAGGCACCCACCATAGCAAGAGTTTTGTCCAGTTTTTTTAAGCCTAGTAATGTAATTGACTGTCACTTTTATAACGCGGCCACAGCTGAAAGTGCGAATCGTGTCTAGCGGCATCTCGTTTTGATTTCCTGAACTTTCGATTCGTAACTGTATAATCTTAACGCTAGACAATGTACGGTCCAACGTATAATTAATGGCCAGTTGTTTCGTTTCGGTTTAAAAATTTATTGTTACTATGCGTGTGTCTCTTTATTATAACAGATAGTGATCATACTTGATGAACTCTCGGACATACGATCAGTATTACTAGAAAAAGAGTTAAAATTATTATTTAAAACTATACTCTTTAATGATTTTTACAATCGACTATGTTATAAAAGTTGAAATTTAGTGGATTCCAACATTGTTTAAAATACCATGATTATATAACGGTATATCCAAAAACAAATACTGACTAGAAGTTCGATAATAAAATTCATGTTTAGTAGACCTCGAAGATCAATCATTATCAAATACTTTCTTCTTTTTCCCGTATCTATACGGGGTCGTTATTTTCGGTGTTGGCAGGGTTTTTACGGTCGGACGCCCTTCCTGACGCCAACCATCCACTAATTTAGCAGTGTAAGACTGGAGGGAAGGCAGCTAGTCATCACCACCCACCGCCAACTCTTGGGCTACTCTTTTACCAACGAATAGTGGGATTGACCGTCACTTTATAACGCCCCCACGGCTAAAAGGGCGAGCATGTTTGGTGGGATGGGGGCGCGAACACGCAGATTGCGAGTCGAGCGTCCTACCCACCTGGCCATGCCGGGCACTTTTGTACGAAATACTTTCATTTTTGTTATATTTTGTTGAAATATCATTCTCAGACTTATAGAAGGTCAAGAGTAAAGCGGGTTTCGACAGCACAGACAGACTGTTGTGTAGCTTTGTGCAGTCTTTATGAGTGCAAAGAATTTAAATAGTTCAAAGGGACTCAATGTCCGAACCTAAAACTCAGGACCAAAACCAGAATTTTTTTCATGGTAATGGTAATGTAAGTCCATATTAGTTCCTCCAGAATCGTCTGGACATGGCGTAGCTTATTGGTTAAGGCGCTCGACTCGTAA